TTATTTCTTATTAAAATCATAAATTTTTATATAGAGAGAAAATTTTAATTTTCACTATATTTTATTAGTAAATTTAGCCTCTGAGTCATTACTTTTGATCACCACTGTATGTATATCTATATTATTAATTTAGATAATTAATATTTTTAATTAAATATCTTTTAATATTTTCTTTTATAATTTTATTCTTTCTTATTATTATTTATATTATTATTTATTATATTTATAATTTATTAAATTATAATTAATTACTTTTTGAAGATATAAATTAAGATAATTAATTTTATTTAATATTATTCAAATAATAAAATTATAAGTTTTATAAATTAAAACTATTCATATTATATTTTATCTTATTTATAATTATTAATAAAATAATCTTACAATTATAATATAATATATTATTTATTATATATATATATATTAAGTTATATTAAGTATTATTAATACAATTATATATTTTTAATATGTATTTAAATAAAGAATTAATAAAAATAAAGAAAAAATATTATTTATTATAATATAATAATATAATTAAATAAATATATAAATTAAAAATAAATAAAAATAAATAATAAAATTATTAAATATTAAAATATTATATAATTATTATATATGATATCAATATTTATATATAAATTTTATTTATATAATATGAAAAAGATATAATAGTAATAATAAAATAATAAAAAAGATCCAATAATCAAGATAAATAAGTATATAAAAATATTTATTATTTCTATTTAAATAATAAATATGATCCATTATAAAAAATTTAATATATTAAATAAATATTAATAGTTTATTTTTTCAAACTAAAATTTTTAATTCTGTCTCATTTAATTAAGTTATTAGGTATTGGAATTTATTTAAATATAAAAATTTTTATTATATATTTTTTATAAAAAAAATTTTACTAATAATAAACTTTGAATATTATTTCTTAAATTTACTATATAAAATTTGATTAAAATTAATATAAAAATTATATAATAAATAATTTAATTTGAATCTTAATATCTTTATAATTACTAATTCAATTTTTATGAAATTTAGAATATATATTTTCAAATATAGGGCAATCTGCTTGCATAATTTGAAGCTTTAATATTACAAATTGATAGTAATATTATTTAAAATGTCTATTTTAGTTTTTTTTAGTAAAGTAATCCTTCATTTATTATTAAATTAAAGTAATAGAATAATTAAAATAGTATAAAAAGTAAATTTAGATCATTTTTTATTTGATATAAAGATTACTTGATAATTAAATATTTGTAAACATTACAAGTAGAAATTTTTAACTTAATGTTTTTCTATAGTAAAAAACCAAATAATTTGTGTGTTACAAAGCGATAAACTTCCAAATTTATTTAAAAAAATAGATCTATATCCATTCTGCAGTTTAGTCTTACGATTTCAACACTATCATCTTTCTACAAAAGAATGGAGGGACCCGAACCTATAGACATGCGACCCCTTATTTCTCTAGCCAAACGTGTATCCCGCGCGTTTTTTCAGAATCATTATATAGTAATAATGGACGAGCTGACCAAACATGATTTGTATGGCGTGTTCTTTGAACTTGTGCTTTTTTGAAAAGAAACACCTAGCTGAGCTGAACAAATAATAAAACATCCTTAGCATTAATGATGAAGAATTGTCAAAATCAATAGGTCTACTAATTATTGAAGAGATTCGTCATGGATTGTATGTGGCAGCTTAATTTGTTAAAGAGTCCGTCAAAAAATTTATAGGTCTTACGATGAAAGAAATTCACAAATTATGTGGAGCTTTAAAGGAAGCTAAAATGTTAAACACGTAAGAATCATTATAGGCATATTTTTCCATAATTATTTTTTGTATTAAATTGATTTCAATTTTAGACACACGAAAATGGAACCAAAGAAGGCCGATCAACGACCAGTTCCCAAGCAGTATTATTATATCGATTGGCCACAATTTGTAATGGTGACCAAATGGAAAATTTATCAGATCCGTCAGAAGGTTCAAGAGAAAATGCAAAGTGTGAGTGTGAATGGAATGTATTTTTACCATCGATGATTCATTTTTTTGATATTCAGAAAAATATAGGAACAAAATAATAAAGGCTATCTTTGCCCAAACTGTGGGAAGACGTTTGCCGCGCTAGATATAAAATTCCTAATAGAAGATATACGAGACAATATGATCTTGGCTTGTGACGTATGTCATTCCGAGATACAACACAACGACAATGCAGATAATTTGAAGGGATCGGAGATGTTGCATGGAAGGTGGAACAATTTTATGAAATATTTTAATATGTTTTGTATTTTTCTTTTCTCTAAATATAATTCTATCATAATTATTCTTTACAGGTTTATGGAGCAATCAAAGCCTATTATTGATTTGCTTAAGGATATAGATACCATGAAGATACCCTCGTAAGTTGATTTTGATATATTCTTGGATCTTTGGATATGTTTAAATTTTTATTTTATACTATATATAAAAATAGTTCCAATCCCATGAAAATGGGTGCAACTCCTTTGACGAAAGGTGCTTCTCAATCACCGCGTAAGTATAAAAAACTGTCCTTTATTCAATTATGGATGAAAAACGAGATTCTAATTCCATTGTGTCTATTAAACAGAGGATAAGGAACTAGCATATGCTCAAGATAGCGAGCTTCGTAACGATATTGTTGTCGTATTCCAAGAAAACAGCGAGGCATCCAAAAAATCAAAAGAAGCAGAGATCGAAAAGAAACGGTTTTGTTTTGCTTTTCTTGACAATCTTCATGTCGGATTCCTCTCAAATTAAAAGAATAATAATAACAATAATTTTATTTATTTATTTTTCTCTTAGACAACAAAATGAGTTACCTGCATGGCATAGGCGAAGCACTGTGTCAAATGATACAGTAATCGAAGAAACCCCGAGAAAAGAAAAGGTTGAAAATAATGAAATTGAAGTAGAGTCATTGGCAGAAAAAAGCAATGAATCCGAGAGCTGTAAGTTTATTAACTTTTTTTGCCACATGTTCTAAATACTAAATATTCGTATATTAATTAAACTTTAATTAAAAACAGATTATACCAGTTACTATGCACAATATAAACAAGATACTGCTTCTAGTACGCCATCGACCTATTATTACAACAATACAACCGAAGAGATTGAAGACGACGAATTTGAAGAGGTCGATATTCAGGGAAACGTTGATAACAATATTAGCTACAATATTAATGGGGTTAACAACACAATTGCAGTTGATGATGATGATGACGAATTCGAGGCTGTAGATGTTAAAGAAACCGCAAAAGAATTTTTGTTTAATTCAAATTAATCATTTTGTTTAAAATATTATATTCAAAACATAAAGATCCAACTCGGTGCTATCATCAGAAGAGTATATGGAAGAATAAAAATTGACATATTAAACGATATCAATAATGATCTACTCATATTGGAATCAACATTATCAAAGAACAATTTGACATTCTACTGAATGATTCTAAAATGAAAGAATCATAATAATTGCCCTCAAAAAGGGTATTTTGACATCTCCTAATCTCTATAATTTTGATTACGCAGACCCTTTCACTTTCTACCGAGTTACTTTGTGCACATTTGCAATCAACACAACAAACTCTATCATTTTGTTAAAAGAATAAAGAAAGATACAAAGTCCAAAATTTATTATTACTATTTTATATATGTATATAGAGAGAAAGAAAAATATATATATATATATATATATATAATAAACTATAAAGACAAAAATTCATTTACAATGTTTGCAATCGATAAATTATATATACATGTGATTGCATCTGATTAATGATTATTATATGGGGAAAAATAATAAATACTTCTTTTTTGAGTTGAATGAATGGGAATAAAGGGATGTTGGAAGTAATGTTTTATACGTGCTATTAATTTATCAATCGAATAAATTAATGTATGATTCAAAAAGGTTAATAGTATCAAAACGCTACGCCTAAAAGCACACGAGTCAACCGTTCCACTATTTGTAAATGCATCGGTAAACAATTATTTTTCATGGGTGTGGTGTCCAAATGAGAGAGTGAATGGAATTCGCGTAATATCTCCCACAGAGCTACGGACGGAGACCTGTCAGATAGAGAATCTGGCTTATAGATAAGATCGACCTAAAATAATAATTTAACCGCAAAGAAAGCTTAAAGATTGAAATTAAGAGAGTATGAAATTAACAGATTATTTTAATGGGTCAAAAAGAGTCACCTGTAAAGGTACAAGTGGACCTCGTACTGAGGCCACTTCTAAAAAATATCCACTTGCCACAGGTCGAAAATCAATTCGAGGTATTGGGTTATTTAGTACGATACCATATACTTTTGGGGTTTCATCTTGAAAAGTATCAATGAAATCAAAATTTGTGCTTAAATCTATCGATATTATTGTTGTACTTCCTTTTGTCAGTTCAATCCATACTATATATTACGGGGAAATGCGATTATATTGATTAAAATGCGGATTTATGATTAATCCAAAAATGAATAAAAAACGCAAAACATAGCTTACTCTTTCTTTCCTCTTCAGTCATTGAACCCATCTTGCAAATAACTATATTTTGACACACTATTTGTTGCGAGTCTTCCATTGTCTTCTTTGCCAACAACGTTCGCCTCCACGATTGTTCTAATAGTGTTTGACGAGGTATCTAAATTCAAATATCATAAAAATTAAAATCAAACACGCATATTTATAGAGGAAAATTTAACCAATTAACAACAGTTCATTTGCCTTGGTATTAGATTCTATCATTGGAAGTATGCTGCTCTCTAATAGATTTCCAATGTTATTGGTGAAGACATTGGCTAGCCATCGTCTATCCGGACTATATCCGTATGCCATGTGCAGTGTGACTCCACTCGTTATTAAATCACGAATTGACGGAGGTTGTTCGGTGTTTTGAAAATTGACGGCAATCGGATCAGGTGGTGGTAAAATATAAGGAGCACTGTATTTTTGAGGATGCTTATGAATGGGATAATAAAGGCTTGTTAAATAATCGATATATACTGCCAAAAAAAATTATTATTCACATTCAAATTCTTACCATTGATCGTGTATATATAGAGAATGCAATATCAACAAGTCCTTGTCTATAAGAACCACCATTAATACTAAATTTTATTATATGATCTATCGGCATTACTTGGAAAGTAACATAATCAATGAGTTTTGTATCGTAATTTAATTTCTTTAGTTCGAGTTTCAATTGTGTTTGAAGTTTGGCAAAAACTTTACATATGTCGTAGTATGCTGTCGAATGGGTGAATGGGTTTACAATATATATCATTAAGTAATTTAATGTGCCTTGACTTTGTTTAGTGAGAAGTAGTTTTGCGAGTTTAGGTCCTAATAATATATGACTATTGTTAATACCATTATCCTAAGTAAAAAGCACGTGAATATAGAAAACAAGTAATTACTCAGTGATTGAATTGTGTCAATATAACTACGAAGAGCACGTTCTGTATCCGATTCACCGGCATTAGCTTTTTATAAAAAGAATTCGTAAATGCGTAATATTAGTATATATTCCAGGCAATGTTGGGCAACCGAACCAACCGGTCTCAACGGGACTTGTAAAGAACTGCCCACTGGACTACTGGACTTATAAAATTTTATAAGTCCAGTAGTCCAATAAAAATGACTGAACTCAGTATAGTGCCCGACACTGATTCCAGGTGAAATAAGATAAAAAATATCATGAAGCAAACCTTTTAATAGTTTAATGGGTATCAATCCTTGGGGATAATGATCCAGCTTTTCATGAGAATGAGAGCCTAATTCACAGTTCTATTATAAAAGTTGTTGTATTGATTATAAACAATGCGAAAAATAGAGAAGTAGTATAAGTAGAAACAAAAATTTACCATAAATGTGCGATTTATTTGTTTAAAGAACGTCATGATACGTGATTGTAAATTTTCGCATTCAGGATGCAACACAAAATACGAAATTCTTTTCTTTCCTTCGGGTGGCTCGAGTTTATGACGTTCCCAAAATCTCAATTGATCGGCGGAAACTTCTATATGATATTTACTTTTGAATCCGACTACTAAATCCTTTGCGTTTAGTATTTGACAGTTGAGTTGTTTTGTTTTCGATACGAACTTGGTGTTTGAATATTTCTGTTGATTTTGCTGTTCTTCTTGAGAGCATAATATTAATAATTAAGTATTGATATGAATATTATAATAAATCATATAGGATATCTTACCATTTAATGCATGATATTCGGACATTTTAAGAGGTCCTTTAATGCTTAATTGCATGTTTTGACTTAATTTTGGAAACCTATTCTTTATATCGTCCAAAACTAATTTCAACTTTTGTATAACAATTTTAACTTCGCTCGGATAAGCGGGTGATGTAGCTAATTCTATTATAATCAAACATGATATATTTTTTATTAATATTTGATTAATTAAATAAATTAACGATAATTAAAAGGAAATAAGCTTGCCTCCTTTGAAAGACTCATTTAAGCACCTCTGTCTATCCTGAATCTTTTTAGTTGTCTCGCCACCTTCTAAATGCTCACCGGCATAAGGATACGATCCAAAAACTATTTGGTCACGCAATAAATATACTGCCTTTCCCTCACAATAATCTTCTCTATTTATTTCGAGATAAGGGTGGAAAAATGGAACATTCCGAGAATCATAATGATTGTCAAATAATATAACGAATCTCGCACAATTGATAATGTCCATTAAAGTATTGTTCTTATTGATTTTTGATTGTGCTAATTTCACATCAACGAATTGCTCCAAATTCGATGAATCATTGATTGTTCCAGTACTTGCGTTAACGCTTTCGTTATCTTCGCTATCGCTCGAAACATAGGACGATGATGTTTCAGAAGGTGAGGCGGTTTCACTCTCATTATCTTTGTTTTTTAGTTCAGCCTTGGCCTTCTTATTATTAAAGCCAGTTTTCGCTTTTTTTCTTTTTGGTAAGAATTTTGGTCGATAATAAGGAGAATAAATATCAGTGTTTTTCCTTTTACTGCTTTTAACAATTGAATTATGATGTATAGCAAATTTTGAGGTATCGACATGTGGAAATATCAACGGAGCCCATTTCGGAGGTACTAAAGGATTTTTAATTTGCTTTACAATATATGATAGATCCGGAAGGATGGGATGACGATGTACTGGCGCAGGACTTTGATTATGTATGCCTGGTGTATCTAAAGAAAGATGATCGTCACGTATTGAACCAGGCACTTCTGGAGTTGGTGAATAGTTATTAGTTATAGTAGAGATAGGTTTCTAAAAAAAATAATTTAATGGTTTTGATTGATTGTTATTACTAATAGTGAACATTTATCCATTAACAAAAAAAAATTCTCAGATAATACATACTTCTCCAAAGAAATCGAAATCATGATCAGTAATATCAGCCGAAATATCGTAATAATGATCATTGGTATTGTTATAAAATGATTGGTCTTGTATAGCAAGAACATCCTCAGTTGTCGAATATTCCGTAGAAAAAGATGTCGAAGGATCTGGTGGTGATGGATAGGTTGCTTCGGTAGAAGTATTTACATTTGTCGAATGCTTGGTTTGTGGTGTTTGCGGTTTACCAGGTGAATTCGTATTTGAAGTATCGTTGGCGACTCCGGGGGTATTGGGGGTCATTGTCGTTTCTAGTATTGAGATTGAGGATGTTGATCCAGGATTATCTTTTGCGTATCTTTGTTGTTGATTCTGATATGGATAAAAATTATGATGATGATGGTGATGATGATGACTACTATTTTGATGGTAAATTGACTTCGAATCAATATCATCAAGATAATTACTAAAATTCCACCATTCAATATCTTTTTCTGGCAGTGTTTTTCTTTCTACCGAGCATAACAGCCAATTTCCCGGTTCACCGTGCATTTTGTCCAATGCGCTAATTCTTTTTCCGATTCCGGGTACTAATCCTTCACTAATAATCCTTTCATTATTATTACTGTTAATAATGAAATAAATACATCTCGAAGGATATGGAATTTCTTTTACAATCTTTTCATCGATATTAATTCGTACATTCACTAACCCCGGCAGAGCAGAATCGAATACTTGAGTCGCTGGCTCCGAACAAAATAGGTCCAGTTTAAAGAAATCGTAAAATTCCGCAAATATTGATTCGGTGTTGTTGTGATGCGAAAATTTCGGGTCTGATGAAAGGACCAGTTCGGCCTCGATACCGATTGGAGCTATTAGCACTTTAGCGGCGGTTTGTTGTTGAGATGGCGGTGGACTCTTTAAGTCGGATGTTTGTAGTGGTCGTATTTTGCGATATTTTACAATTGGTTGAAATATGAGACTCGTTGATGTTAAATGCATATCGAATTTACATGATAATGTCCTTTAGGAATTGATATCAAAATGGATTTTTGTATAAGGCATTGATTTAAACTATTTTATGATATATAATATAAATTTTTAAACATGAATAATGAGAATAAAACTTACCCCTCGTCAACAGTTTTATTTGATAATGCGGGGAATGCATACCATTCCCCTATTGGTATCCCCCCTTGAGATATCATTGACCTAATAAGAGAGAAAAATACGTAAATAAAAACTAGAATAAGTTTTATCAATTAGTAGGATCATAAAAGAATTCAATTTACCGATTGATTAGATTTCTATATGCCTTTAGAAATAGGCCATATTCTATTGGGGGTGATTCTAGTTGTTCCCAGGAGAAATAACAGTCTTGTTCTGATGCATCTATAATATCATTATTAATATTTGATCAATTGAAGAGAAGTGCATGAATGATAAGAAAATAATTTATATATTTTGATCACATAATTGTGATTTGTTCACGAGAAACAAACTGCCTTAACAAAGAGAGAGGAGAAGCTCAAAAAACTGATAAATGTATGCGTTCGTTTTTCAATTTTTCGAAACGATAAAATTCCTCAACAAACCTTTCAATCCCTCCAAATGATTTATTTCTTCTGGTTTCTCTTGATGATTTAACCAGAACACCCATAATTCTCGCGTTACTTCCTGCTCGTCGTCTTCCTTCCTCTCTTCTAAATGAAAAGAATCACAAATAATTTTTTGTCGGATTATCTGGTCTATTATTCGGTTAGAATTTTCAGCTTGCTGTTTATGTTGTTTATGGCCTGTACTAATATTAGCGTATCGCCATACACATGGAATCCCGAGGTTCAATAATTTAATTTGATTAGCTATTATCGGATCTCGTGTCCAGCATAACGAGTCTTTGTTCGAATCTGATTCACTATATGCATAACGATTATAATTTTCCTTGATTGCTGTCCGTGAGAAAATCCATAATTGTTTCAAGCTACATGTGAATGTATACTTCCGCCAGCCAACACTAGAGACACCCGCCTATTATATTGAAATAATTTTATAAAATGTATACATTTCAGCAGACAATTTGTGAGCCGAATCCAGCTACTACTCATACTGCACATGCACAACTCGTAAAACGATTTTAGTAAAAGAAAAGAATAAATTGCAAGTACCAAGGAGAGGACATTTGTGCAAAGAGACTCAATATCCTTAACGTTTTTACTGTTGTTGTTGCCACTGTTTGCACTATTGCTGAGTGAGGCCATTTTCGGAGTGAGAAAAACAGACTAGTGATCTTGTTAATATTTCGAATAAAAATGCCTGGAAAATGGATAAATAATATTTATATATGTATATATAAACTATTATCTGATAGTAACGGGTGACACGTTGATGATGTGGATGATTTCTCAATTTCTTGTGCACAATTTCCCATATTTTCGAAAGGGTTACTTTCGCTGCCCCGAAATTTTTTTTCATATGAAATTCTATTCTTTTGTCTCTCATGCAATGATTTTAGATTTTCTGATTGGGTATGCCGAAATGTGGGGTTAAATTCTACATCCACAAGTTACACCCTAAAAAATAACTATCGCTATCGCATATCTGATTTATAACAATCAATTTGATTAAAATTTAATAAATATCAAGTACATTAGTTAAAAATTTGAAATAGTTTTTCAAACGCTAGTCATTGAAATTCATGACTTTCAAGGGAATCCGAGAAAAATGTTCTTTGTGATAATAATATATTTTCTTTTCATGTATCAAATTATTATTTTTTATTGATCATGTTTTTATAGAAAAATCTCGAGTATTCTTTGGATATGGGACATCGAACAGTATATCTAGCACCCTGGCCAAAAAAATTTATCCAGTATCGCTACGAAAAAATTTCACCCCAAACCCAATAAAAAATGTCGGTGACACAACATAATTTTATTTCCCGAAATGTCGTGCTCTAAGTCAGATCATATGATTCCAATCGATATTTTGCAGATCTTCGGGGGAGCACACTAAAAAAAAAAGTCGTGAGTAATTTGCGAAAGTACAATAAGAACTACTCCAACAATACCCGAGCACACCCTGTTATTGTTAATTACGTTATAAAGAAAAGTCTTGAATAAAAGTTTTTGCTAGACATTTATACAATCTTCTCTTAATTAATGATTTCGTTTGGGTTTATATATTATCCATGCAAGAATGAACACGTCATAATTTTTTAATCAACGTTGTAACTATATTTTCGTAAGCTTTAACGTTAGGTTTTCAATGGATATGATGTTATCGATCAAGCTATCATAAATTGGTGGTTTTTCAATAAATAAATAAATAGATTATTAATAGATAGCGCTAGTGCTACTATAGCCTATAAGTCCCGGGATAAACTTTTTCTCGCGAAAATCATCCTCTAATGTTTATATTCTGTATAGGTAACATCTCCCTTGAAATTGAATCCAATATGAATAAATAAAGTTAGTCTTTACTATGCATATCGTATCCCATATAGGTTCAA